AAACTATGTCTCACTCAAACCAAGAACACAGTTTGATAATACTGAAATTAATGGATGGCATCTCCTCCGGTCAGCAGTGTCAAGCAAACTACTGTCTTCTTCAGTGACTCAGCACTGTGACAACAAATTCTCTCCATTTATAGCATCCCGCCACACAAAACCACCATTATAAGTCCCATGCAGATAAAATACCTGCTAAGATAAATTACTGAGAGGATACAGCAATTTTGAATTCACAAGTATTCATCTTCTTAAGCCCTGCTGGTAGTATTGTGTGTTGCACCAAACATCATGTCTTGTTCCAATTTGTACTTAATTTCTTGGTTCTTAATCATTAAAATCAGTGCTTCAGAGAGAGGAAGAGACAGTAATCCTACTTCAATGCTCTCTGTTGTGAGCAAATGATCAGACAACAAAAATTTCACCTCCATCACTTTTCCTCCACCTTTAGAAATGCTTTTTAAAATGCTTAAGCTCAATTAATTTTCACAAATTAAATAATCTAAAACTGTGCCAGCAGACGCAATGAGATCCCCATTGAATATCACTCTGCATCTTCTCTAAGTTGGAACATATCAGCCAATGTTGCAACCCTATACTCTGTGTGTGTGTGTGTGTAACATTTCTGCCTGTTCTTTCTTTTCTTTTTACATTTTGCTAGCCCCAGAAAAGTTAACTTTGGTGTATTTAACTACATTAAAAATAAAAAAGATAGCCAAAATGCATTGATAAGCAAAACAAATCCTGCAGTAATCAAGACAAGAAGAAATATGTCTCCACTGCTAAAAGGTTAAGCATTCCAAAGCTCAAACAGCATGTTGCACAAGGACAAGAAAACAACATTAAGGTTAATAGAAACATATTTGTGTGAACCCATCCCTAGAACCACTGTAATGCTATTCCTAACAGATTCATCAGCTGTTACATAGCTGACAGTTTCAAAATGTGGAGAGAACACACTTCTTTTTGAATTACTTGGGATTCAGCTGATCTTTGCAGCAACAGAAGGTAATTTTTCCAATGCAGCTTATAGGGCATCTAGTCATTGTGCCATTGTCACTTACTGAGATTTTGAGAGAAGATTATTTCTCTTTGCTGTTCCTTGTGTGAATACCTGCATTTTTATCTCCCAGCCTTGAAGGCTGAATTTCGTTAACCACAATCTGCAAGCCCTGAACAAAACTATGGATCCTACCTTTTATTTTATTTTTAACATAACCCATCAAACTCCACCATATACACAAAGAGAAAACTTAGCTAATCAAATCTGGCATGCTTTTATCCCATTGGTAAACTCACAAGTACTAAGATACGCATCTCAGATTATCCTAAGAGGGGCTGTTTTTCCCCGTTCAATTATGTTTCCACTGAAATATTTGTGTTTTACAGACATTCACATTTTAAAAACAATTAAATCTAATGATCCAGAGAGTACAAACCATTCTCTCCATTTTATTTTACAAAAATCTAATGATCCAATGATTTGTAATATACATACAACCTCTGCATGTTCCATTGTAATATATTATGTCTCCTCATTAATTCTAAGTCCTTTGTTTCTTTTAATGTGTCCATGTGTACACTTATACCACATAAATATTCACCTCAAATTCTATTTTCACATACACAATCTTTACACACACACACACAAAATTTCCATAAATATCTTGTTCTTTAAGCCACAAGAACTACAGGTGGAAATTAAGTATCCTATTTTCACTGCTGTATGTAAAGCATGACATGTTATTGAATGTGTACACCCAAAGGCAAATATTTTGTATTCACACAAATCATTTAAGAGAAGGGTGTAGAATTAACAGTGGGGTCAGGATGCAATAATGAAGAAAGATATCAGATGCAGCTAATGGCTATAAAGGGAAAGGTAAGGAAAGGCTATGGATGATACCAGAAAAGCTATGCTAATGTGAAGTTGTGGAGCTACTTGAAGAGGGATAATTTGTAAAAGATGGCAAAGTTGTTTCTGAGTATAGCTTGAGACTGGAGTAGAAGAAGGCAGACAGGGGAGGAGTTTTAATAAACTAGTAGAAGCAAGAAAGGATGTTAGGGGAAGTGTAGTCAGTGGCTGGACGTTTTAAAAAAACTGGAATATATATGAGAAAGCCAATATAGAGATTTAAGAACATTAATACAATCATGGTGAAATAAAAGAAAGATTTGATTAGAAAGTCTTTTTGAACATATTTGAGAGGAAAGTAACAGTAAGGGGGAGAGACAGCCAAAGATGAGGGCAATCCAGTAGTATAGATGCAGAACTACCAGAGCATGGTTAAGATTTTTAGGTTTTGATACAGAAAAGAATACTTTTGACTTTGGAGAGGAAAAGATAAATACATTGATGAATCAAATAAAGACTATATGACTCTACGGTTGCTCTGTTAAGGGAGATATCGCTACAGAAACAAAGAGAAGGACACTGGGGAAAGAACAACTATTAATCATGTTCTGTTTGAGATGAGTGTTTGTGCATATATTGGATTTTCCTATCAACAAGAAATTGCAGGATTTTTTAGGCATCTGCAACAACTTGCTTAAAAATGCACCTTACCTTTTAGACTATGAACTCCAGGGTAATGCGTGCCAAAGCCCTCTTGGCAGTAGAACTTGGATGTGGCATGTGTAGGAAATACCATGGTGCATTTGTCAGATTACAGCATAGTTCCAAAACCATCACCACCACATTCATTTAGAAAGCACAAGCTGTACAAAAGTGTGTACAGTGGTACCTCGGGTTGAGAACTTAATTCGTTCTGGAGGTCCGTTCTTAACCTGAAACTGTTCTTAACCTAAGGTACCACTTTAGCTAATGGGGCCTCCCACTGCCGCCGCAGCGCGATTTCTGTTCTCATCCTGAAGCAAAGTTCTTAACCTGAGGTACTATTTCTGGGTTAGCGGAGTCTGTAACCTGAAGTGTCTGTAACCTGAAGCGTCTGTAACCCAAGGTACCACTGTATATGTGTGCTCTCTGTCTGCAACTATAAAATCCATCTGAACATTTTCAGGAGTGGAAAAACGACAATGTCTAAATGTATCCAGGTCAGTTTCTGGCACTGTGCATCTTTAAAACGGGATGGGCCAAAGGCCAAGGTATTGTTGCATATTTTGACAGATGTGACCTATACTACAAAGGTAAGTGTATGAATATAACATCAAGACCATTGCTAGATGCATCTTTCTCTGTATGTGGATGAATGAGAACCGAGAAAACGCTTTACTACCAAATGAAGGAATAGCACAAGTGAAACGGCACCAAAAAATTGGCTGGACCTTCTCTCAGTCACTGGCAAGTCCTTCTTGTGAGACCAAAAACTGTTATCTTTCAATGGAAATAATTAACCCCTTGTGTGGTAGCAGCTCCTCTGTGGGCTGAACTCTGTGTTAGCCAGGGACATTCTCCCTTCAGACAGCACAGGACCCAGAGCGGCTGGGAGGGAAGAGAACTGGGGATTAGGTTACCTGAGGTCTTTCCATTTTACTACTAGAGAGAGCAAAAAAGAAAGCACTGCTGTCAGTAAGGGCCCATTACTGGGTCGCTGGCTGATTTAAGGTGTGTCACCAACAGAAGCACTACCATCAAACAAATATGCGGTAAAAGAAAAAGAAGAAATGGGTCCCTAAATGAATGATTCAGTTAAAGGTGGGTCTCAAAAAGTTGAGAACTAAGGACCTAGAGAACCTGGGGGTGTGAAGGGAGAGACTATCTGCTCCTGAGGAAGATAAAGAAGAGCAAACCAGTGGGTGTTAAATCTTTGCCACACTTGCTTCTTTTTTGGAATGCAGAATAAGTCTCTCCATCACCCTTTCCACCTCTCCAAAAGAGGAAGGGCACCGCCACAAATGATCTTTCACGGAAGGTGCCTCTCCATCACCCTCTGAATCATAAAGGGCAGGGGAGTCAATGGTGACCAAGTGGGGAGAGGCGGGGGAATCCTCCCCCTTTCTTTCACTGCGGTGTAGAAAGGGGGAGGGAGGGGAAGACACCAAACAAGCGCTTAAGTGAGACCACTGATTTAAAAAGCCAAGCAGGAAACTAACCCTGACAAGAGGACTTGCCCTCCCCCCCAGCCGCACCGATTGGCTGAGCTCACAGCCAGGAGCCCGTTCCTGCCAGTGCAAGTGGCCCTGCGGCTTGTCTATCAAAACGGAAATTCGCAGCTAAGGGAGTAGATCCCCCTCCATCCATCCTAGGCTTAGCAGGTAGCCGCCTAGAAATCAATCACACACTAATAAAACGGGGAGGGGGGGCTCCTCCACCACATTATTACTACAGATATTTGCGCTACAGATATAGACACACACACACACACACACACTAAGGCAAGACATGCGTGCCATTCAAATCTGTGCAGGTTACACATTAGGTATCCTGATCTTACAGCCGCCCCAAATAATCTTTCAACCCCAGAGCATACTAAAATGTACAAAGGTCCGTATTGCCTCGGTTCATTATATAACTGCTAATATAATATCCTCGCTTCTTCCTGGGAATCCTCCTCCTTGCAAGCGCGAGGCGGGGCGAGGGGGCTTGCTGGGGAAGAAGGAAGCCTCTTCCCCTTAACATTTGTTTTTATAAAAAACCCCAAAGCTATGCACAACGTATGTCAACTCTTATTCCAAAGCCCGCCGTACCAAGCCCGTGCAAAGAAGGCGTTGGACAGGATAGTAATTCTCCATGGATCACACACACAAACCCGCCCTGGCAACTGCATGGCTGTTTTCTAGGAGAAATTGCAAGCGTCGGTGCTTCCGCGGGAGCCAGATGCCAGCTCGGGCAAACGTATCAGCAGGCGTTTATCACAGAGCAAAGGCTCTCGCCTTTCCAAGGAAAGCCTCCCCCCCACCTTGGACACTCTCATCCTCCCCCCGCCCAGCCCGCCCTTGCCGACCCTTCGATGCTTTGAAACGCCCGAGGCACAATTCGTGTGCGTCCAAATGGATGCACCCGAATCCACCACGGCCATATCCGCGCTGGAGCCCCTCACCTTTCCAATCATTGCATCCGTCTCTCTCGCGTCCTCCTCACATGGAGCTCACAGCATCCTGCCTCGCCGACAGCCCATTGCAGCGGGGAGAGAGGCGGCGCGGCGAGAGGAGCCGGGGGAACAGGTACGAGGCGAGAGGAGGAGGAGGAGGAGGGGACCTGCTGCAGTCGGGAGAGGCTCCCGTAGTTCCCCCAGCCGCTGCCGCCGCCGCTTCCCTCCTGCCCCTCGCGCCCAGGCTCCCTTCAGCCAGCCGCCAGCCCGACTCCCTGCCTCGCCAGTCCCTGACTCAACATTCCCAGCATTCCCGAGGAGCTGCCTGCGCGCCTCGCGCTCTCCGCTGGGGGCAGCAGCGAGCTTCCTCGGAAGGGGCCGGCTGCAAACCGGACCTCCAGCAGCAAAAGCAGCAGCAGCAACGCTCCAAAGGTTTGCTTCTTTCGCCCCGGCGCCCGGCATCTCCCTTTGCGCTCTGCAAGCCCGGAGAAGGGAGGGAAAGAGCTGACACCCCGCTGCCCGAGGCTTGGCGGGAGGCGCCCAACCCGCTCCAGAGATACTCAGGTTCGCGCGCAGCCCAATTGCTCGCACGCCTTCAAGGCGAACGGTGGCCAGCCGAGGATGGATTGAAAATAGCGGCGCAAGGCCAGCTCACCTTGGCAGAAATAGGTGGGCGCACGTGCTTGCAAACATACGCCCAAAACGTAGCCTCCAAGGTCTGTTTTTATTTATACGTTATGACTACTTTAATAATGGATGCACATTTGGTATAAATGTGCTAATATAATTAAACACAGGCTCCTAGGCATCCCCGTTATAAAGGTATCATCATCATCAACAAAACAAAAAAAAATTCCTTCCAGTAGCACCTTAAAGACCAACTAAGTTAGTTCTTGGTATGAGCTTTCGTGTGCATGCACACTTCTTCAGATACCAATCTGAATCTGCATGCACACTTCTTCAGATACCAATCTGATCATCATCATCATCAGTGCTGAATTCCCGGGGTATTCAAGGTACACAGTACCCACACCTTGTCCCTCCCAAGTGTTAAAAGTGTGGCAGTTGCTGTAACAATTTCTTGGTGAGTACCAGCACCCTTTTTCTAGAAGAAGAAAGAAAAAAGCACGATTATTATTATTATTTTATTAACAGCAACAGCTGATTGGCCTTAATAGTACAGAGCTATACAGAACATACTGGGGGTAATTTATTCCAGACACTTGCTCCAGAAAGTCTCCTGTGTTTTGAAACTTTTGATCTGATACCTGCCTATAGACGTAATAGCAATACCCATGCACTATCATACATATAATTTTATGCAACATCTACATGATATACCATCAAATCATTTCCCTTCTATGATTTCCTCATGGTTGCCTCCACGGTTCCACAAGAAAAAACCAACTGTTTTGGGGGGTAAAGAATGAAACAGTCATGCAATCCTACAGCTGTAGATCACCTTAGTGCTATTCTTTCATCTTTCTTAAGAGGCGTGGTTTTGACATAAACAGTGGCATACCACATTGGTGAGCCTACCACCACATGTCTATACTTCACTACTGCCTTTCCAGTCAATAGCGTTCTAGCTATGTATCTTAAACTGTTGGAGATGGAACACAGTGAGAGTACACACAGTAAATGCACAACACGAGGGATGTAATCTACTAAACTAGTCTCCAATAAGAGGTACAGCCACTGTATCCCTCTTTGTGCATCTAGTCTAGAAGTAAAGAAACTGACTTTTTAATTGTTTTATTGTACACACACACTAAACATCTGTAATTATTTTGTATACATGCACTGTGGCTGAACCATCTTGCTGTGAATAGAGCTTCTATATTAATTCTGGACAAAGTAATGTTGATTTCAATCGATCAGATCATATAGTGATTTAATCTTTTCAGTGCTGTAACATTTTCCACATCCAAACCAGCTGAATTTGTTTATAGCCATGACTATTATTTCCAGAGTATATTACAGTACTGATCAAGATTATCGTTGTCCTACAAACCTTTGCTATCTGCTCATGTGAAACACAAGAATCTGCCTCAACAATAGTTTTTGTGGGCATTGTCTGGCCACTATCAAAAGGAATTAATTCAGATATTCTGTAGGAGCATGGGGAAATCAAGGGAAGAGATTCCACGCACCCTGAATTTTCCATAAATATGTTCCTTTATCTTACATATCTGTACAGGTGGCTTGCAAATACTTAAAACGATGAAGCATCTTGCGTCTTGCTTGCAAGCAAGGCCGTGATGCGAGGTTTCCTAATACAACAGAACTCCATAAAGAGGAAAAAGCAGAATGAGAGGAAAGAAAAAATCTTGGAAAAAATGAAAGAAGGTGAAAAGAAATTGAGGTCTAAACCAAAGTCTCATGAGATTTTGAGAGAAATAAAGCATTACCAGATGCAATATATGGAACTGATGAATCAAGAGATAGAATGGAAAATAAAGCAAATGAGACAAAAGACATTTGAATCAGCAGATAAATGTGGGAAACTTCTGTCATGGCAACTGAAAAAGAGGCAAAAACTGAATACTGTGACAAGTTTAGAAATGGATGGAAAGATTATCCACAAACCAAATGAGATAAGTAATTGTTTTAAAAGTTTCTTCAGGAAATTATATGCACAAGGGCCAGTCAACGAACAGGAAATAGAAGAATTTATTAAGAAATATGGACTACCAAAAATTTCAGAGCAAAGTAAAATGATTTTGAATGAGAAAACAACAGGACAAGAAATAGAGGGTGCCATCCAGAATATGCAACTGGGAAAATCTCCAGGACCAGATGGTCTGACCGCTAGATATTACAAAGCGTTGAAGGAATGGCTAGTACAACCACTGAAGGAAGTTTGCAACGGAATTTTGGAGGGGGAAAAGGCACCTGAATCGTGGAAAGAAGCTTTTATTTCACTTATACCGAAAACTGAGACTGAAAAGAACCAGGTTAAAAACTACCGCCCTATATCACTACTCAATGTGGATTACAAAATTTTTGCAGACATTTTGGCAAAAAGACTGAAGAGAGTGTTAGTAGGGGAGATTCATAAAGACCAAACTGGTTTTCTTCCAGGGAGATATATGTCAGATAATGTGAGGAACATTATAGACATTTTGGAACTGTTAGAAGTGAACATTAATAGGAAGGCTGTTTTAATTTTTGTGGACGCGGAGAAAGCCTTTGATAATATTTGTTGGAGCTTTATGAAGAAGAATCTCCAAGGGATGGGGGTAGGCCAAGGTTTTGAAAACGGTATAGGTGCAATATATTCTAAACAAAAAGCAAAGTTAATTGTAAATAATGTGGTTACGGAAGAAATACCTATAGAAAAAGGTACACGACAGGGATGCCCAATATCCCCTTTACTTTTTATATCAGTCCTGGAGGTTTTGTTAAACATGATCAGAGGGGACCAGTTGGTTAAAGGAGTCCAGGTCGGAGCCAGACATTACAAGTTAAGGGCATTTGCAGATGACCTAGTATTGACCTTGCAACAGCCAGATACTAGTACTAAAAGAGTATTAGAACTAATTGAGATATTTGGTCAAGTAGCAGGATTTAAACTGAACAAACAGAAAACGAAAGTGTTGGAGAAAAACCTAACATTGGCGGAAAAAGAGAAGTTTCAGAGTGAAACAGGTTTAGTGATAACGAAAAAGGTGAAGTACCTGGGGGTAAACCTAACATCTAAGAATGTGAACTTATTTAAGGACAATTATGATAAATGTTGGACAGAAGTAAAGAAAGATCTAGAAATATGGTCAAGGTTGAGACTCTCATTGTTAGGCCGAATTGCTGTTATCAAGATGAATGTATTGCCTAGAATGTTGTTTTTATTCCAGACGTTGCAGATCTTGGATAAAATGGACTGTTTCAAGAAGTGGCAGAAAGACATATCTAAATTTGTCTGGCAGGGCAAAAAGCCCAGAATAAAATTTAAGATTTTAACTGACGCAAAAGATAGAGGGGGGTTTGCCCTGCCGGACTTAAGACTCTATTATGAATCGGCAGCTTTTTGCTGGCTGAAACACTGGCTGCTTCTTGAGAATACAGACATTTTGGATTTGGAAGGGTTTGATAATAGATTTGGCTGGCATGCATACATATGGTATGATAAAGTTAAAGTACACAAAGGTTTCAAAAACCATATTGTTAGAAAAGCATTATATAATGTGTGGATGAGGTACAAAGATTTATTGGAAAGTAAAACTCCCAGGTGGTTGTCACCAATGGAAGCTAAAGAGGTGAAAAAACTGAATATGGAGTCTAAATGGCCAAAATACTGTGAAATTATAGAGCAAGACGGTGAAAAAGTTAAATTACAGAGTTATGAGAAATTAAAGTCCAAGGTACGAGACTGGTTGCATTATCTTCAGATAAATGAGATATTTAAACAGGACAGGAAAATAGGCTTCCAGATGGAGAGGTCAAAATTAGAAACAGAACTGTTAGAACACAACACTAAGAATCTGTCTAGAATGTATAATTTGCTGTTGAAATGGAATACACAGGATGAAACGGTAAAATCAGCTATGATTAAATGGGCACAAGATATTGGTCATGACATTATGTTTGCTGACTGGGAACAGTTATGGACCACCGGTGTTAAGTTTACGGCATGTAATGCCTTAAGAGAAAACATAATGAAAATGATTTACAGGTGGTACATGACCCCAGTCAAGCTTGCAAAAATTTACCATTCGCCCAATAATAAATGTTGGAAATGTAATGAGACTGAAGGTACTTTTTATCACCTTTGGTGGACCTGCCCGAAGATCAAAGCCTTTTGGGAAATGATCTATAATGAAATCAAGAAAGTCCTTAAGTGGACTTTTTCTAAAAAACCTGAGGCTTTTCTCTTGGGCATGGTCGGCCAATTGGTGCCAAGGAAGGATAGGACGTTTTTTATGTATGCTACTACAGCAGCAAGAATCCTTCTGGCAAAGTGTTGGAAGACACAAGAACTACCCACTCTGGAAGAATGGCAGACGAAGGTGATTGACTATATGGGACTGGCAGAGATGACCGGCAGAATCCGTGACCAGGGGAAAGAGACAGTGGAAGAAGACTGGAAGAAATTTAAAATATATCTTAAAAATTGTTGTAAAATTGAGGAGTGTTAAGATGTTAAGGAATTAAGAAATAGAGAATTGCAGCTGAAATCAATAAGTTAAAGAAAAAAGAATTTAATGAAAGTGATCGAAATAATTAATTAATTGAAGGAGTTGCTGAAGAAATGTAAAACAAGGATGCAGAAAAGGGGAGGTATGGGGA